CATAATCGCCCATCGAAATCTTTAATCGATGGATAGACAAGTTGCTTATATAGCAGCTTCGCCTTGATGCGGCTTTAACTTGTCGTTTGCTGAAGCTTCCTTATTTTCGGCGACAGAATTCACAAGTGCCTTCCCATTTTTCCTAGGGTCATGAACGTGTAATTCCGGTGAGCCTGGTCTAATACTGTGTAGTTCCTTTCGACAGTCATAGACGATGTTGCAATTCTTGCGGACATTCTTAACAGATAAGATGTTCGTGATTCCTCTTTCATCGAACCATACTCTCTGTTTGTGGCCAGCTAACTTGGCTGGTGCTGGACCTTCAGCTTCCCTCCGGTACTCTTCACTGTAATTGGACGATCGGCTTTCCTGATGTCGGTAACCATGTCTTTATACAGAATAGATCCAACGTGGACTGTTGTCCAGTAGCTGGATCTCTCTATATCTATGTCGTCCAATCCTTTTGTGTGGCCGACTATGCCTTGCTTAGTCGGTTTCTTCGTCCCGTCCGTCTTCGTTCCGTCCCCGAAACAGCGGTACACCGAACGTAACGAAACCTTTTTCGACTTTCTTCGTAATCTGACTGCGTGATGTCAGAGTGGCATCATCCTTCTCTTTCAGGGTTGTCAATGCTGTCGTCATTTTATCTTTGCAGCTTGCTGATAGTAGCTAGGGTTCTCCTTTGAACGCTACTAGAGCTTTTCTTGTTCGACGTGCTTGACTTGCTAAGTCTTGCTCGACCTAGGACTTGTGTCATCGTCGTCTTTTTCTTTATTCTTTGTCTTTATCTTTTGTCTTTATTTTTGTCAGGACAGTGCGATGCTGGATGTACTTTATCGTGGCAGGAAAAGCATTCTTCTCTCTTCCAGTATTCTTTATCATAGCTCGCGTTTGCCGCGGGCTTTTCCTCTGCCACCTACCCCGTCCTCTCCCGCCTTGTGTTGTCTGAGCAAAGGAGCTTCCGTGGGAGAGTGGACTGTCGTGGAGTGTTACTCTTGGTGTGTTTGTCCAAAAGGTGTAATACCTCATGTAACGTGTGGGGATAGTTATCAGTGCTTGTGGCAAAGTCGTCCCTCAGTGTTCTTTTTAAGCTTGGTATTTTCGCTGATCTATTTTGTTAAGAAGATGTAACTATAGTCCGTTCCTCTGCGTATGCCGAGACTGTCCTCTTGTCTTCGACTCCCAGTTCAGCGTATTCTGTGTCTGGGTGGAGTAGGTTGGCCGTATGCAGCAGCGTGCGTCGTGTAGCTTGGAAATACCCAACGGATTTTGCAATGTTCTTTTTCCGTGGTAAATTGCTCTGGTATTCGGAAGCGGAAGCCTCCCTTGGTGGAAATTCCAACCCACTACCATGATCCAACCAAACCGATGAGGACCTGGAACGCGGATGCTAAACCATTGACGAAATGGAAGATGATCCGACGATCCCCAGGACAACGTCAACGATGACGCCGAATCGATAGTCAAAGAACCGAATGAAATCGGCAGAGCCGAAAATCGAAACGGAACCGGTTACACAACCATATCGTCGAAACGGTAGAGGAAACCGGGACCTACTACGGACCAACAGCCGCTGGAAAAGATCCCAGGAATGGGTGTTGAAACCCAAGGGCACACTGAGCAGAACGCCAGGAGTGCGCAGGTCTAGTAGATGAGGACACAAGCAAAGGAGCCGTATATTCCCAGCTTTGATGGAAAGAAGTATGAGACAGCCAAAACGTCCATACAACTGACGTGTCTTGCCCCAGATGCACACATGTTTACACACAGGTAGAAGTAGAACCTGATGTGGTAGCAGCCATCATGACACAGTTTGTCATTGAAGTGCTGGATACAAGGAGTGGAGGGACAAAGCGCACGTTGCAGGCCTTTGCCGAGATAAACAGTTACATCTCAGGGATTCCTTCCGTCCGAAGAAAATGGAAAACAACTCAAGCGATATGGAACGAAAGAGTATCCTAGAGTCACACCTGTTCCCTAAAGTTGAAAAGGAACTGGAAGATCAAAGGCCGAGCGGTTGCAGGAGGAACAAACAGCGTGACTTCAGTCTCCAAGGAAACGAAGCTCGCACAACAGTGTCGATAGAAGCAGTGCTACTCTCCTGCATAATCGAGCTGAAGAGGAAAGGGATGTGGCAGTAAGTGACATCCCGAACGCCTTCATCCAGAACACGAGTCTGAGGATGAAAAGATATGGTAATCATTAGAGTAAGAGGAGTACTATAGTAGACATGCTGTGTGAAATAGCCGCAGATGTCTACAAACCGTTCGTGACAACGGATAAGAAAGCAACAAGCGGTTGACTACTGCAATGCTTGAATGCCATCTACGGCACCATGGATAGCTAGCCTACTTTACTACCATAAGTTCCGGAGAAGCGATGGTCCTGGAACGGATTTAAGATTAATCCTTACGACCCATGTGTAGCCAACAGAATGGTGCAGCGGCAAGCAACAAATAGTCTGCTGGCATGTAGACGGACTGTAAGCTTAGCCACAAAGGACTCGAAGGTTAAACGACCAGCTGATCCAAGTGCTTCGTGATGAATACGAAAGCATATGCGAGACGGCATGGAGAGATGAGGTGAGCCAGGAAAGGTCCACACGTAACTTGGCATGACCATAGACTTCAGACGAAGGGTCAATGCAAGTATCAATGTACAAGTACGTTGATGAATCCTGGAAGTCTTCGAGAAGGATCGCCAGAGGAAGGGGGCACGAAAACTAGAAGTAGTGCAGCCCACGAAAGAACCTATTCATAGTAGAAGAATCCTGCAAAGCAATCAAATCGCAAATTGCCTGCCCTGTGACCGGTGATACATCGTACGGCACAAGGATTATGGGGCAAGGGTATGATGCGTTGAAAGGCAATGACCACTCGTACGAAACCGGACGCAGTGGCAGGCAAGCAAAGAAGAGTGCCGAAGACTTTTTGCAATTACAAAGGATGTGTTCCTAACGATGGACATTTCTTGGTGGCAGGAATTCGTTCTGTTAACGACTAAGCCGTAAAATCGATTTACAACATCTAGACACCTGCCCAACAGAAGCTAGAGACCATCCTAGAAGCAGTTCAGGAGGTCCATCGATTCTACAAGGCTCGTGGTTTTAGAATCACGACCATTCACGTGGACAATGAGTTTGAGCCTCTGTCCAACACAATCATGGCAATGCCGGGTGGACCGGTAGTGAACGTTGCCAGTGCTAACGAGCACGTACCCGAGATCGAACGTAGGATCCGGGTAGTCAAGGAAAGGACACGAGCTGTCCGGCATAGCCTACCGTTTACGCGCATGCCAAAAATATTAACCGTCAACTTGGTGTTACAAGTCGTCAAACAGTTGACGTACTTTCCAAGTAAAGCGGGGGTCAGCGAGACAATGAGCCCCCGTATGATAATGATGGGAGAGTCCCTGGACTATAAAAAGCACCTGAGCCTGCAGTTCGGAGACTACTGCCAGGTGCATGAAGAAGACTCGCCCCGTAACAGCATGGTAGGACGCACAAAGGCGGCCATCTGTATGGGAACGAGCGGAAATAAGCAAGGAGGCTACAAATTTATGAGCCTCCGCTCCGGCAAGAAAATTACTCGGCATTCATGGGACAAGATCCCCATGCCCGACACAGTGATAGCTAGAGTCAATCTATTAGGAAAAGATCAGCCTAAACTACTCGTTTTTACTGATCGAAAAAATAGACCCATTGGTGATGTCGAGATCACAGGAGTGGATGCGGTCCTGCAGAAAATCATCAAGACAACCAAGGGCAAGGTGATAGTCAAGGAACATTTTCATGATTGTGACTGCTTTCATATTCTACATGCATTGATCCAAGATGCCCACACCTCTGTGGAAGGTACACTGGAGTCCGTGGAGACCCTCAACTGGCTCACCAGGGTCAAGTACTCTACAACCAAGGGTTCTGCAGTGGAGTTCATCATCCACTACGATGAGGTTCTCACACGATACAATGACTCCAAGACCAACGCGCAGGATAAACTCAGTGATAGTATCCAAAAACTGTTCCTACAGCAGGCGTTCATCAACATCAAGGTTCTCAATGACATCAGCGCCAGGGAACAGGAGAACATGTGCAGTAACAGTGCCCACATGTCCTACTCGTATGAGAAATACAAGGAGGTCCTGACCAACGCTGCTACCAGGTTTGATGTCAACCACAAGCTTCTACCCCCTGGTAGATTCCGCAGAGCCAACATGGCTATGATCGACGAGTCTGAGGGTGAAGCCGGGCAACCTGATGGCATGGATAGTCCAACGGATGACCACACTCATCTCCAAGCATTTGCGGCCATGAGGGACCCCTCTGTCCGGCTCCCAGACCAACATTGGACCCAACTTTCTAATACGGGCAAGAAGAATTGGCATCAATTTGATGATCACGACAAGAAGGTACTGATGGCATCCCAGCCACCAGCACCCGCCGGTCGCCAAGCCAATGTTGCCAACAGCACAATGGACCCCCACAGTGAAGCTGACCTTGCCGTCGGGGACACACCAGGACCATCATTGGATGTAAACCAGGCAGATACGACACCTTCAGTTGGCAAACCTGCGGCTTCCCCATCACATTCGGCACCCCAGACAAAGGTAAATGACAAACACCCATGGGATGTCCGTCGAATGATGTCAAACAACACAGGCAAACGGCAGGGTTACACCGTCTCGTTCAGCCCTGATACTGGTTCTGCCCCACCATCTGCCTTTGCCAAGGCCATGGGTGATGACATTGACACCAAGTTACAGGCCTACTGGTCCTCTAGTCAGATGCCTGTACGTCGGCCTGAACCTGAGCCGGAGCCGGATTTTTGAAGGGGCGATCTGTTTATGTGCTGAACAGGTCCAGCCCCAGGAAACCAGGCACCACCCATGCTCGCGGGGTAGCATGCCACCTATCTTTGGAGGGGCTACCTTCCGCGGCAATTGGCAAGGAACGACCAGTTACTGTGCTGGACCGGTCGTCTCCAGGGCATTCGAGCACACCCGGTTCTGTGATCTACACTGTTTCCAAACATTCCTGGTCCACGCTGATGTGGCGAGCCCTCATGGACCGAGGAGCCAATGGCTGCATCCTTGGCAAGGATGTCAGGGTTATTCACCGCTACGGTCAATTCATTGATCTCAGTGGCATTGATGACCTTACAGTTCAGAACCTCCAGCTTGCCACGGTAGCTGCTTACATCCTTACAGACAATGGCCCCATCATTGGTCTGATACACCAGGGTGCTGCCATGTCCCATGGGAAAACCATTCTCTCCCCAGGTCAGTTGGAGCATTTCGGGTGCCGTGTCCATGACAAGGCCCTGACTGTCACTGGGCTCGACCCTTACTTTGTGACCCCAATGGTTTCAGGGTGCCCATTGTTGGAGGTTGTATTACAGACACCTCAATACAAGTTATTCGTTTATCCCAATCTAGTTTAGAGGGGATATCTATATCAATTCTCTAGTTACATACATGGGGAGTTTAACTGATCTATATAGTCACCCCCTTCACTATATCCTTTGAAGTTGAATCAATCCCAGAAAACATGGAGAAAGATCACTTCTTGGAAATAGCTTAACAGTAAAACCCTTTTGAACTTTACTAAGCTAGAGTGTTACTAGCAATCAACACTATTTCCAAGAAGTGTCTATCATCATCTCGCTTCGACATCTCGCTTCGAGATATCGATATTGACTTTGTCAATGGCAATCCTATATGAGTTCATGCTAAGGTAAAGAGTGCAACAAACAGCACAGGCAGATAGTGCTGGAGCCCCACTATAAGGGCTACCAAAACAGCTCAACAGGCGAAATTCCGGAATCACGAATTCCCATTGAGCGACATCGGAGCAATCGGCCGATCAGAAGACAAACGAATCTGCCTAAAGTAAGCATACTAGTGGAAAGAAGAGAACAAACTACACTACTTCTATGCTTGAACCAATCGAATCCAACAAGAACTGATTGAGTTACGACCAATCGAGTTGGGGCAAGCAGTGAGCTCCGGAGCGAAGCCAACACCGGAAGCCTGCAGGAGTGACACGAGGAGTGTCAATCGAGAGAGAACAACACCAGGAGTGTTGCCACAGAAGAGGAACTAGATAACAAGTTCCAACAAGAAGAAGAATTACCACAGAGGTACTTCCGTGGGAGAGTTCCTATCCTCAACAAGAGAGCCATCGAAATAGGCTACTAGAAGAGAGGTACGAAGGAAAATTCCAACGCACAACAAGACGAATTACCAGGCCGACCACTCGGCAACCACAGGTCCTACGGAAGGACTGTCATACATGGAAGTGGGCTACTATACTGTCAGTGACAGGCCCTGAAGAGTGCAAGTCCTCGAATGCAACAGGAACCAAGTTGCATCCGTCGGCGCATTCAAACAAAAATGAAAGAAAAACCGAAGCAGCACCCAGTCAACGATCGGATCAAGGAATTGAACGACACGAAGCTACTGCTACAGGAACAAGAAGAACAACGACTACTACTAGTCAGTCACTACCAATAGTAGTGGCTGGCACGGCAACAGTACCATTGCGAATGTTGACAAGAGCTGCGAATTTTGCAATTCCGCCAGCCACCAGGAGTAGCAAGTCAACGACCGAAGCTACCGCTACGGCGACACGCGACCAAAAAGACACCACAAGCGACCAAACGACGACACTGCCGACAAGGCAGCTGGAAGACAAGGCGAAAGAAGCAATCGAATGATCGGTACTTGCGACGGGATACAGCTTACAATTCAGCTTTACAGCTTTACAATTAGCAGGCTTATTCTAGAAAATAATCAATAACTGCCTCACTTATTTGGAAATAAAACTTTACATCTCTTAATCTTAGACTAGTCAATGCACAATGGTATTGTCGCATGTAGCATGCGAGGTTATGAGATGTTACTCATTCTTATTCTTTATGTCTATTGGATTGCTCCAAGCAATCCCCTCTCATTTCTGTCGTCGATCGAAATCGCGATAAGGATACCTTGGATTCGCTCGTAAGAATGATTGCTCGTAAGCAATCCCCTTATCAATCCCTTGTTTTGTTGATTCGCTCGTAAGCAATCGCAACCATGGACTCCTACAGGAGTCCACCTTTTATCCTGTCGTCGATCGAAGTCGCTGTATTACGATTGGATCACTCCT